GAAAATATGGGCTGTGGCGACGTCGTCTGTGAAGATATTACCATCAAGTTATTACTTGTCTTCATATTACATTTTTATTAATAGTTGAAAGTTAAATGATCGAGTATTATTTAATATTTTATTGGGAATTACGTATCAGGTGCAATTTTGCAATCAGTGTTTAAGTTTATGTTTGACTGCTTCGTTTGAATAGTTTGTTCTGGTCATTTTTTAATTTGTCTTTTATTGCGAATTAAGAAAAAATATTAAATTGAAGTAATATGATTTGCAGTATATATTTATATTCTGTCTGATATTGTATGTGTACGTATATCTTGGAGTAAAAATGGATATAACAAATGATACCAGTATAAGACATTAACATCATAAACCCGTCTCAGAAGATGGAAACTAATTATCCGAAAGGTATATGATGGACTAAAAAACACTGTCTTCAACGGACGCTGTTAGTCGATTCCCTTTTTTAACAGGATTGTCAGTAGCATCAGTTAAACGTATTGTGCGCGAAAAAACAAATATTTTAAAACTGCCCAGTTCAATCAACACGGAAGTAGATGAACCACAAAAAAATATTCTCCGTAGAACTGTACATTCGTTTTCCTTTAAAATCTAAAATCTTCAACTCTAAAATCTGTATTAAGTAAAATAGGCAAAATCGAAAATTATCTTAAAACCGTAAATCATTACGAAAAGCATTATATGACCTTAACTTTCGATATAAAAATTAATGCCACAATTGTATTTTAATAGATAAGAAGGAAATATCGTGTGGCAAAAAGAAAAATTTGAGGTAAGAAAAGCTGACTATTAAATTTAAAAAAAAAAAAATGTGAAAAACGAATAAACATTTTGTGATTATCTACTCAACCAATTGGCAAGTATCATTTGAACGAGACTTACAATGAAAAACGAAAAGTGGTAAAAAACTAAGCTGACAGAAAACAAGTACTAATCAATTTTTTTTAATTTCTTCAAAAATGTTCTTATGTACATTTCTTTCTGCAAGGGGCATAATGATTCTAATAAGATTAAAATTACTGAATGTGTTCTTTACATTTTTTCACATCCATTTTATTTGTAAGAGTAATTTGTAATTGCATTCGCTATCAGAAAAAGGTCATTATCTTCGGTAACTTGTAAATAATACGGCTATTTATCAACAAAATAGAAATAAATCTAAAAATCAAAAATACAACACAGCTAGCAAACTGCAAGATCAACAAGTGAACATCATCATAGATAAAAATCAAGAAATATACATATGAATCAAATATATACAAGAAATCATTGATGATAATAGGTCCGAACATCCTCCGTCCTACATATGTAATGATCACTTACCAATCACATCTGATGAAGTGGAAAAAACAATTTTTTTTTAACCTATTCTCTATCCTTCCATTGTTGGATATAGGTCTCCCCCAGTTCTCTCCATCTTTCCCTATCTTGAGCTGTTCTCTGCCATGTGGGACCTCCTTGTTTCCTGATGTCATCTTTCCACCTCATCTGTGGTCTGCCTCTTGATCTCTTTGCATTGTATGGACGCCACTTTCCGATGGCATTGTTTCATAGTCCGTCTTGGAGACGTTCATTGTGTCCAGCCCATTTCCATTTCAGTTTTGCTGCTTGTTCTATCGCGTCTACTGTCTTTGTTCTGGTTTTGATCCACTGGTTACGTTTTCTATCTCTAAGTGATACACCCAACATTTGTCTCTCCATCGCTCTTTGTGCCTTCCTTATCCTATCCAAATTGGCCTATGTAAATGTCCATGTCTGTGCTCCGTAGGTGAGCACCGGTATTATGCAGGAGTTATATACCTTGCTTCGTAAGTATAGAGGGATTGTTTGATTTTTTAAAACGTAAGAAAGTTTGCCGAACGCTGCCCATCCCATTCTTACTCGTCTCGATATTTCGGCTGTTTGATTTTCTCTGTTAGCTTTGATTGCTTGTCCTAGATAGATATACTCATTTACCTGTTCTATTTTTTTCTGTTTTTATTTTTATTGCCTCTTGGTCTTCCGTGTTTGTCATTACTTTTGTTTTGTTGAAGTTAATTTTTAGGCCTTTTTGCAGTGATTTTTCATGAAGTTCATTCAGCATTAATTCCAGTTCTTGTCGTTCCGAGGAGGTCAGGAGTATATCATCCGCATATCTAAGATGATTAAGGTATTTTCCGTTAATACATATTCCTCTGTTTTCCCAATCTGTTGATTTTATTATGTCTTCGAGGGTCAAGGTAAACAGTTTAGGTGAAATGATATCGCCTTGTCGGACTCCTTGTTTAACTTTTATATTATCCGTTATTAATTTGTCGTCCAGAATTACGGTCATGGTTGCGTTTTGGTAAATATCATGTATCAATTGTCAGTATCTTGAATCTATTCTACTATTGACCAGAGCTTCTTCAACCGCCCAGTGTTCAATGCTGTCGAAAGCCTTTTCATAATCTACGAATGCTAAGTATAGAGGAAGGTTGTATTCATTGGTTTTCTCAATTAAGATTTTAAGCGCATGTAGATGGTCGATTGTGCTGTATCCTTTCCTGAATCCGGCCTGTTCCAGTGGTTGGTAGTTATCAAGTTTATAGGTTAGTCAGTTGTTTATTATTCTTGTGAAGGTTTTATATAGTTGTGACAAAAGGGAAATAGGACGGTAGTTGTTTAGGTCTGTTCGGTCTCCTTTCTTATGTATTAAGATTGTGTTGGCATTTCTCCATTGTTTAGGTATTTTACCTTCAAACAGACATTTGTTGAACAGTATTTTTAGCATTTTTTTATCGTGTCTCCTCCTTCTTTTAGCAGTTCCGCCAGTATTTTGTCCTCACCGGCCGCTTTATTTCTTTTCATGTCGTTTATGGAGTTTTCGATTTCATCTTCAGTTATTTCTGGTAATACCTCCGAGCCAACATTTTGTATTTTCCTCGAGAGATTCTGTTTAGATGATAGTGGTGGGTCATTTTTAGAACTGTATAGGTCTGTGTCTCTGAGCAGACAAACGCAGTAGAGGAAGACCACCTACACGTTGGGCCGACGACATCAGGCGTATCACTAAAAATTGGCAACAAAGAGCACAAAATCGTGAGGAATGGAGGAGTTTAAGGGAGGCCTATGTCCAGCAGTGGACGTGATAAATAGAGGCTGGATGATGATGATGATGATGAGGTCTGTGTAATATCTTTCTGTGATTTTTACTATTTCTCCTAGATCTCATTCTTCATTGTTCTCAGCTTTAAGCATGATTAGTTTTCTTTTTTCCTGTATTTGTCTTCATTGTTTTTAAACTTTTGTTCTTCTCTATGATTTTCTTAATGCGGTCTTCTTGGTATTTCTTTAAATCTTCCTTTAATACAATATCACATCTAAAAGATGGCAAAGCTCCTGGACTTGACAATGCATATGCTGAACTCATAAAACTGTTTAACACCGACGGTACTCGATGACTAACAAAAATATTCAATGACATTATGTAAACGAAGTAGTACCAAGTCAACGTTTATTGCTTTATCAAAGAAAACAAAATCCGTATCCTGCAATGATTTCCGGAACATAATTTAAAGTTATTTCTAAACATCATACATAAAAGGATATATAGACTATGCGAAGAAAAAAAATCAGAGGTACACTGTTTGGTTTTCGGAACGCAGTGGGTACGAGAGAGGCTTTATTTAGCATACAAGTGCTATTTCAACGATGTACAGATGTGAATTGCGATATTTATGCACACTTTACTGATTACCATAAAGCGTTCGATACAGTAAAATACGACAAGCTAGTAAAGATAGTAATCTTTACCGTACAGAGGCAAAAGTGTACCCTTGCTGTTTAACATATATTTTGAGGAAATCTTTCAAGAAGCAGTAGAGGATGTTAAAGCCGAAATTCGAATTAACGGAGAATGTATCAAAAACATCAGATACGCGGATGACACGGTGATATTCGCTGACAGTTATGAAGCTTTTTAGGAGTTAATGAATATAATTACAGAAGTGAGTCAGAGATATGGACTTTCACTAAACATTACGAAAACAAAATGTATGATGATCCCTAAGAACAGCAAATTAAAAGAATCAGTGTGAATAGTCAACCAATAGAATGAGTAAAAACATACACCTACTTTGGTACGAACGTCAATGAAAATTGGGACCGTTCCATAGAAATAAAATGCAGAATAAAGAAAGCAAGATCTGCATTTCAAAAAATGGCTCAGTACTGTTGTATGTAGTTGAGACGTGGACTTTCACACACGCTACCTGCAAGAAAATTGGGGTTTTCGAAATGTAGCTTTATCTTTGAGTGCTGAAGATATCCTATACCGACCACATTACTAACCAGGACGTTTTTTTAAGAATGCAAAAAGGAAAAGAGTTGTTAAACACAATAAAAACAGAGAAAAACGAATACTCCGGTCACATCATGAGGAACAACGAAATGTATGGATTGTTGCAATTAATTCTACAAGAAAAAATAAAAGCAAAACGAGAACCAGGAAGGCGAAGGATTTCCTGGCTGAAAAATCTACATACGTGGTTCAACACAACAACCACAAATCTTTTCAGAACATCAGTTTGCAAAATATAGATTGTCATGATGGTCACCAACACCCGAAACGGATAGTAACTACAAGAAGAATCCAGATAAAATTCTATCATACATCTAACGTCAAAATACCTAAAATATTGATCGACGTACAAAAATGATCACTAGGTACTTTGTTGAGTGTTCAATGCAACGCTGACGATTCATCTTCGCATCTGTTAAGGATTTAATTTATAAGCATATTTGAAGTTTCAACAATAAATTGGCATATGCACCAAAAAATTTGTTTTTTTAATCTACCTACATAATTGACACCTGGAGCCCAATATAATACATATCTGTTTATATTACAATTCGATTATAAATACATATATCTTGTATCTATACCACAAGTAGTCATAATTCTAAATAATCATTAATTCTATTCAAACACTTAACGGATATGACTTTAATATATAACTTACCCGTAGCTATGAGGAAGAGTGGTATGTTTTCTTCAACGGGGCAGTGGTGAACACCTAGAATACCAATGATGAGCATAGCGAGATATATGATGAGGGACAGAAGCAGCGTTATTTTTACACCAGCTGAAAATAAAACCCAATTATAAGTCAATAAATTTATTATATATATATATATATATATATATTACAAGCATATATATATATATATATATATATATATATATATATATATATATATATATATATGCTTGTAAGATCTATTATTGTTATAGTACAGATTTCGCGACCGTGTTCAAAACTTGATTTAAAAAATTTCAACTCCATAAAGACGTATCCTAACAATCCTTACAATAATTATCACATTTTATATCGTTCAATATTTCAGTACGATTTAAGTTAATAAATTGAAAATGATCTTAAATAAAGAGAGAATAGAGAGAGAAAAAGAGAAAGAGCGACGAGTGATAATACGAAACTAGTGGCATTTCTTCTTGCAAGTGGGAAGGCGGCAATAACTATAGCCAGTTTTATTTTATCTTCTGGTATATGGAAAAGCTATTCAGAACTCCGTCCATACTCGAAAGTTTTAACTTTTAATTCTACCCTTGAGTATTCGTTATAATCAGCGATTTTTTTCCCTTAGTACGTGCTCACATACGCTATTTTTCCGCACTTTATTGTGCTTTTAGGATGAGTCCTCTGTGGCATATCTGTGTGTCTTTTATTTAATTTCCTTTCTGATGATCTTAACTCCAGATTAGTTGTCTATTTACTGTATTGAGCGTCATCTGCAAATATTTAATGATATCGGCCAGTAAATAGTCATCTGCATATCGAAGATTACTTATTGGTACGTCATTAATCTTGATGACTTTATTGTACTCTTCCAGTTCCTCTAGAAATATTTGGTACGTGTATAGGTTTAATAGCAGAGACGGTAAAATACAGCGCTGTCTAACCCCATTAGAGATGGTTATGTTTTAATCCACCATATGTTCATAATTCATAATTCATAAATTATATGAGCTGTTTGATTCCAATACTAATTTTTAATAATCTGGGTGTCCTTAGTGTAGTGTCCTTAGATTAATGATAGAGCAAACCCAAATAGAAAAAAGTAGAGACATACAAATATCTGAGAACCTGGGTTGATGACAAAAATGACCAAAGCAGTGAAATCAAAGTCCGAATTGAAACTGCAAGGCAGGCATTTGTAAAAATGAAGAGAATGCTTACTAACAGAGACCTTCAGTTGCATCTCAGATTAAAAACTCTAATATGTTACATATTTTCTATCTTACTATACGGAATGGAAGCTTGGATATTGAAGAAATAACACATAAGAAAAATAGAAGCGTTCGAAATGTGGTGTTACAGAAGAATATTAAAAATTCAGTAGGTTCAAAGGATTACCAATGCTGAGGTACTATGACATCTAAATAAGGAGTTAGAAATTATGAACAGCATAAAAAGAAGAAAACTCAAGTATTTGGGTCACATAACCAGAGATGAAAAATATGAGCTGCTGAGAATTATTATGCAAGAAAGGATCCAAGGAAGAAGAAGCATAGGAAGAAGACGCATCTCCTGGCTGAGAAACCTTAGAGAATGGTTTAACTTATCTATAGTTCACTATACCTTTTCAGAGCAGTAGCCAACAAAGTAACCATAGCCGTTATGATATCCAACCTCCGATAGGAGATGGAACTTTAAAAAGAAGAAGTCCTTAGTTTCTAGGCTTGTGTACACGTCCTTAGGTATTTCCATGAACTTTACTTTTTTTTACACAAATAATTCTTGATTTTGCTCGAAGGACCATGACTGTGCTTGATTTGCATTACGATGTACTGCTAGTTAAGACAATCAATCTCGATATGAAATAAATACTTTATTAAATTAAACACAAAACTAAATGAAGTGAATTAAGTTTGTGTTTCGCTTAAGTTTGTGCATCACAATCGTCGGACTGGTTCTTATTTCGACTGTCTCTCTTATCTATAGCAGACAAGGTGATGTTGCCATAGTAACAAAAAGTATAGTTGACGTATACACATATCGGCGTGGACATATTAAAACATGTAATAGTTCTAAAGTTTGTCCTGTACATGTTATTCGACACAAATAATTTAAAAAGCTTCCAAATATAACTGTGTAGATAGTCTATGATAGATACATTGCAGAAATAAGTTAATAATGGATCCAGAATATTGAAACATCTTGGATATATAATATGGGAAACTGAATACATGAGAATAAGAGTAAAATCCAGATATGTAAAACACACAAAAGATTAATCCGAAGTAGTAGTAGTAGTGTAAGATTAGTTGGCAAGCATAGTGTAATAGTTGACAATATTCCTAGAATTGATTCGCAAATTGGGCCTAAGTTCATTGGAAAAGATGGCACCCAGTGGCTAAAGCAGAAACCCAACTTTAATTCAATTAAACACGCCGTCCAAATATTGTCTAGCTAGGTAGTATTGTCTGTATAGGTGAAACTAAAAGTGTAAAAAATTGTTGACTGCTGGAAAATATATTTTCCTATAGATATTCTTAAAACATAACAAGAATTTTACAAACAAAAATGAAGAACTGATGATCAACTTCTGCACGAATATCGAACTAAGAATAAAAAACACATTTTTGACCACAAAGACCAACACAAATATACATTTAATAACACACGTAGATAAAGATCTGTGATAGATTATGTTATAGTTATAACCAACAGAGATATACATCCATTAAAAATAATCGTTGTAAGATGCCTCAAGTCAGCAGATGTAGGTAGCGACTATATCCTAGTATTATTTAAAATAAGAATCATCCTGAAATACTTGACACCCAAGAGAGCGGCCCCAACACACACAGAAATCAAAGTCGAAGGGCTAACTACGGAATTTACTTATACAGGAAAAGAATATCAGCGGAGATCGCTGGGAATGAAATATTAGAAAACGATAACATCGAGGAAAGTTGAGAAACCCTCAAAAATATCACAATTAACGCAGCAACAGAATCATTTGGAGAGAGGAAAGTAACGAATACTATTATATCAAAAAAGAAAACACCATGATTTAGAGAGGAAGTGAAGACAAAATGTGAAGAAAAGAAGAAAGCCTTTTTACAATACAGAACACAACAAACACAACAGGCATACAACCACTATAAATGAATCAGAAATGAAACGAATACTTTGAGTAGACAAATAAAAAAGGAACACCGGCAGAGTTTCTCAAAACTAATGGAAAACAAGTTCTACGGAAAACAAAAAGAAATATGGAGAATGATCAGAGGACAAAGAAAAGAGATAAACAAACCAAAAAAAACGAAACACATTCAGAAGGAAACATGGGTCGACTACTTTCGATCCCTATTTGCTAAAGGTGACGATAACGAACCACCAACAATAGAGGTGACGAAAAACGAAGAATTAAATATTGAGGAGGAAGAGGTAAAGGAAGCATTAAGGAAATTAAAATCGGATCCCAAAAATTACAGATAAGTTAATTTATTAAACACAACACTAAAATTAACAACCAAACTGATAACAAATAAACTGAATGAAATTATAACACTAGCAGAAGAATGACAAGGTTTTAGGCTAGGAAGATCACGCACCGACGCTATATTTAAAATGGGGCAAGTGCAAGAGAAATCATTGGAATACAAGAAACCGGCATATCTATGTTTCGTGGACCTTACAAAGGCATTTGACCGGGTAAAATTAAAAGACGTTATCCAATTACTGTACGCCAGAGAGATACCTCTAGGAATAATCAAAACGATAAAAGACAAAACAACACAATAAAACTAAAAGTAGAAGACTAGAAACTATTCGACAATATTGAAGCTGGCAACGGGACAGAACAGGAAGATTCCCTGAGTCCTCTATTGTTCAACCTGATTGTGGATGAAATAATAAAAAAATTCAGAACTAAAAAAGAATACCAAATGGGAGAAAAACAACTTAAAATAATCTGACATGCAGACGACGCAATACCACTCTCTCAAAGTGAAGATGAATTACAACATATTATTATGCTGCACCAATTTAATATAAGCGCCAGAAAATTTAACACGTTAATTTCCCCAAAAAAGACAAAATGCATGGTTCCAACAGCAAATTTACTAAGATCTAAATTGGAGCTGGAAGGTCAGATAATAAAACAAGTGAAGGAGTTTAAAATACCTAGGCATCGCATTATCTAACTAGGCTGCCTAAATGAAACTATATGGAGAAATAAAAATATAGGGAAAAAAACGAAAGGCGGAATTTACAAAACAGTCATAAGACCAAAAATGACATTCGCGGCAGAAACAAGACCTGATGTAGAGAGAAGAAATAGGATGTTAGAAACAGCAGAGATAAAAACACTTAAAAATGTTGATGTTAAGACACTATGGGACAGAGCTGGAAGTACAGATATATCACTAGATGATCATATAAGCCGAATCACAACAAATAGAGTAGTAAAGACGGCAAAAGCCTGTTCCCCAATAGAAAGACGATCCATCCTAAGACCACGAAAACGATGAAACGACAACTTACTGGAGGCACAATAAAACACAAACAGATTTATGTTTATACAAAAAGAAGAAGAAGTAGAAGATATTCTTGCTCAGATCGATACTTTTATAAATCAGAAGCTTGATGAATAGCATTCCTCATATATCCATCTTCGAGATTCTTTACCTATTAATTTAGAAGTGGTAATGGTGTTTATAGGATTGCTTTATTTGCCAGGATTAAAAAGAGGAAATAACGGTGAACACGAATAAACTTTTAGCAACAGGTGGTATTGCAGCAGACTATATTCCAGTTATAATGCCCTGAAAAAGTTTCCAATTACGTCAGCGAGCAATCAGATTCGACGCCCACAGCAGCAGACATATCTGCTGTTACAGTCCTGCTCAATCTATTACCGTTGATGAAATACTGAAAGCTTTTAAAAGACGTTGTTGCTTCCCTCAGTATTAGTAACAAACCAGAAAAGTATGGCATAAAAGTCTATGCCCTTACTGATGCAAGGAAATTTAACGTTCGCATTATACAAATTTATTGTAGAAAGCAACCTCCCGGACCTTACCAATCATCAAATGATGCAGCAAACGTCGTAAAAG